ATATATATATATATATATATAATTATCAATTTTTTTACACGCACATATAAATCTTGGACTTTTTTTTACATCAGTTTCTTTTCTTTTTTTTCCGTTATGATAAAATAACCAAAATCAAAATAATTAATAAACTATATACATAATAAAAAATTACAAAAACCAAAAACACAACAAATTCAATAAAACCTTAACTAAAATTAAAACAAAAATGGAAACTATATAAATAAAAACTAATTCAAAATATTAATAAAAAAAATAAAATAGTATTTCACTGAGAGCACAGATAGATAGACAGACAGACAGACAGACAGATAGACAAAATAGACAGACAGACAGACAGAATAGACAGACAGACAGACAGAATAGACAGACAGAATAGACAGACAGAATAGACAGATAGAATAGACAGACAGACAGATAGTTTTAGATAGATAGACCTTTTTTTTTTCAAGCAAAACTGGAACTAGCAGTGTGTGGGAGACGCATTATACAAATAATCTTGGGTTCGTGTATCTCAATCATTCAACACCAATACTAATGTGCGTGTGAAGTTTATTAAATGATATCATTATTCACGAGATGCTGATGTTTGGGTTCACACACGTGTTTGTGTGTTTATGGAGCGACAGGTCTTTATTTTGCTTTTCTCTCTCATCCGTCTTCAGCTTCTGCTTCATGTGGCGCCGCGTCTCCATCAGAGACACGTTTTTATGCTGTTTTTGGTCTTTTTTGATCTTGACTGCATCTTGTTTTCCAGTAAAAATATCTAAATACTTTAAAACCAAGATACATTTATTTGAGAAGCAGAAATGGCGCAAGTATTTTTTCCACACAAATGTATCAAAGTTAAGTGAGTTTTTTTTTTATTATTACAAGAACAAATATCAGCCAATAGGGTTAGAAAAATAATCTAATTTCTCCTTTGAATGAAGTTTATTTTTCTGACTCTACTGGCAGATATTTGTTCTCGTTTTAAGCTTAAACTCACTTCATTTTGATCAATTCTTCAGAAAACAGCACTTAATATCTTGCTTCTCAAGTAAATGTAATTTGATTTATGAATGTTTAGATATTTGTTCTGGAAACAAAATAAATTCATTTGACAATCAAAACTGAGTTTGAGGAATAAGTGTAAATATGTTTTTCTTACGCAGAAAAACAAACTCTGTTATCTATAGTAACATTATTATATATGAGTATTAGTATATAATACTGTATCTTCATAATATATCATTTAAAATACAATTTTGTTCTATTATATATATATTTTTTTCAATTTATATAAAATATATAATTAAAATAATATATGAAATAAAATATTAAGAACATACAGTTTTATATAATTATATATAATAATGATAATATATAATCATTTTAATAATGTTAATACTGTAATAATATTAATGAATTACTTGAAATATTTAATAATTTATCTAAACTTTATTCTATTTATTTATCTATTGATTTTTATCGTATCTATTTTTATTAAATTATTTAAATTTTCAATTTATATAAAACATATATAAATATAATTAAAATTATATATTGAGAATATACAGTTTTATATAATTATATATAATAATGATACTATGTTACTGTGTGTGTATAGCAATAAAATAATATTAATAGTAATTGTTATACTAATTTATTATACTGATAATAAATCTATTGTAATGCAATAACTATTTATGAATGTATATAAAGAGAGAGAGAATAAAGTATTAAAAGTAATTAATATTATTGTGTCTCTACACTTAATTTTGATTGACCCCCTTCAGAAAACATAACATTTTGCTTCTCAAGATTTATGAATCTTTAAATATTTATACTAGAAAACGACAAAAATACTGAAGAAAATCATGTTTTGCAGTAGGCCTATATGAGAAAAATAAGTGTACACTTAATTAAAATCCTTAAAGCTCGTCATGTGAATTTATTTTGTCTTAAGAATGTTTTTCCACTGACAAACGGCTGAATAATTGATTTTTGCAGGAAAGACTCTTTACATTTGGTCCTTTTGTCTTTGACGAGGGTCGACGGTTTCCAGCGCTGGTTGAACTCCTTCTTTAATCTTCCTCTCTCTCCATCCATCCATCTCTCCCCCAGATTTCATATCTAATAGAGCCACATGGTTTTGTCATTAATTGCATGATTACGTCGACTGAATGGAAGTGTAAATCCTCTCATTCAGCGCGTCTTCACGCCTGTCAGATTTGAAAGTCTATCTATTTAACCAGCGCTTGGGCTGAAGTCTGAGAGCGGAGCCACTTCTTTCTTTCTTCTCCTTTCTTCAGCCTCCTTTCTGGAGGATTTTGGCAGAGACAGAAACGTCAAAAGCGTTTTGTTTTCCTGACAGTCACCGTCGTGAGACTCCGAAAGGCTTTTTCATTAGATTCCCTGACTCTTCCTGTGAGGTTGCATCATTATAACGTGTGATTGTGATTGGTTCGTTGTCTCAGCCAATCAGAGGCCTCCGTTGGTCGCCTTCCCGAGCCGTTTGTCGGCTTTGCCAAGTGGAGGCGAAGGGAAAAATAAGCCCGTTGTCATATCAATTATTGTTGGCTTGGTGTTTGTTTGTTTGTTTGTTTATTGTTCTTTTATTATTTTTATTTATTTATATTTTATTATTTATTATTTATTGTAGATATATTACTTTCTTAGACCAACCACACCTTCTTTTAATACCAAAATCACATTTTTATTTTATTTTTAGATAATTGGATTAAACTAGTATTTTATGAGTTATAGTTTCAGCCTTGAAAAATCAGACTTAAGACTCCTCCTATTTCAAGCGCTGTCACGGCGAGACGAGCTTAGCGCGCACGTGCGCGTTTGTTCAAACTGAACGAGTCTGATTTATTCTACTGCTGTTTAGATAGATGGCTATAGCGTGAATTCAGAATAGCATACTAGCCAGGGTTTTTGAAATAGTGTAGTATGCAGTATGTATAATGTGCAAAGTGTGCAAGAGCGCACTGTGTGCAAAACTGTATCCCACAATGCAATGCACTTGAGCTTCCCCTTACAGTGTGACAAATGAATGGACATAATGTCATGATTTTTTATGTGAATCTCCCTGATTTATTATTTTATTAGACCAACTGCACAAATATTTAATACCAAAATCACATTTAGTTATATATATAACTATATATATATATATATATATATTTCAAATCCACATTTTTATTTTTGTTTGTTTGTTTGTTTGTTTATTGTTCTTTTATTATTTTTATTTATTTATATTTTATTATTTATTATTTATTGTAGATATATTACTTTCTTAGACCAACCACACCTTCTTTTAATACCAAAATCACATTTTTATTTTATTTTTAGATAATTGGATTAAACTAGTATTTTATGAGTTATAGTTTTTTTTTTTTTAAATCTTAAATTTATTTATTTATTATTCCTTTAAAATTTTATTAATTTGTATTGTTTTTATTTTATTTATTATTTATTATAAATTGATTAAACTCAGGAAAATTGTGTACTTTTGAGTTTTTATTTTCAAATCCACATATTAATTTTTTATTTATTTATATTTTATCATTTATTATTTATTATAAATGGATTAAAGTGGATGAAATGGTTTATGACAGGCCTTTTATTTTTATTTTTTTATTTCAAATCTACTTTTATTTAATTATTTATTACTCTTATTTTTATTTATTTGTGTATTTATTAATTATTGTTAATGGAATAATTAATAATAATTACAGCATAAATTTATTTAACAAAATAATTATAAAAATTTAAAAAATATTTAGACGTTAACTTGATGCAATGTAGTGAGACTATGTGATACTAATTTCAAATTAAGGAATTTAATATAGCAGTGTGATGATATTCCATTTCATACAGATATTAGTACTTAAAACAAAATTAACACTTAATTCTAATCTTAATATCTTGAGCAATTTTGTTTCTCAAGTAAATGTATCTTCACAAATGTTTAGATGTTTCCACTGGAAAACAGATATGATTCTTTGTTGGGAAGATTCCTCATGTGAAAGCATACTGTTTCAAATACAAATTTTACATTCATCACCTTTTAGAAAGATATTACCATTTATGCTAACAAACTAACCCTTTTCCCCACTGCACCATCATCAGTTCTCGGTTTCACAGAGCGCTTTTTAACACAAGCTTGTGATTTCCTCAATGCAGTGCCGGTGTGGGGCGGACCGGGGTCTTCATCACGCTAAGCATCGTGCTGGAGCGGATGCGCTACGAGGGTGTGGTGGACATCTTCCAGACGGTCAAAATGCTGAGAACGCAACGGCCAGCAATGGTGCAAACAGAGGTGAGAGTCCAGAGCTTCTGTTTTACGGCAGATTGTCTTGTTTAATAGCTGGACGGTTGGCAAATTGAAGTAATAACGAATGCTGATGCCTTTGTGTTTCGCTTTACAGGACGAGTACCAGTTTTGCTATCAGGCGGCTCTGGAGTACCTTGGAAGTTTTGATCACTATGCAACGTAAAAAGCCATTTTTTGTTCCCCCCTGCCCCACAAACCCCCCTCCCCCCAACAGCCTCCTGAGCCATAAAAACTTGCTTGAAAACACGAAACGATGACAACTATACACAATTCATTCAATTTTTTTGAAGAATCGTCTTTTGGAACCAATCGAAACGCGTCATGCGTATCCCCAATTGGACAAGCAACACTGGAGAAGCGCAAACGGATCCCAAACCCTTCTACGTCCCAAGCTCGTGATGGAGGAACCAAACGTTTTGGCTCAGGCTGTAGGGCGGGAATGACGATCTAGGTGTCGGACCACTAACTTTACCTCAAGTGTTCTGACGTGGAGGACAAGCATTGTTTCTTTTCAAACTAACTCTATGAACATATTACAAAAAAACATGAAGGAAAAGTCGGTGAGATACAACATGACCACACATTTAAGTATAAATGATGAGCACCTAATTGGCTGGCGTTTAAAATCCTTCTTTGTTTTCTAAAATGGCAACGTTTCCATTGAAATGTGATCTGTCGGTCTAACAGCAGTCGTCATTGCTGTCTTCAATGGAGAAATTGGAGCAACGGTACAGACAAGACTTCTTTTGCTGCTCACGTCTTGGGTCAAAGCCTATCTTTGCCATTCTGACAAAATTGGGAGCCACTTAAGAAGCAATTCCAGGCAAACCGTTCATCCACTTGAGAAAGTCACCCTCCTCTCGAAACCACTGGAGTCGCCAAACAAGAACTCGACATGTCTTGAGGCGCTGAGGCATTCAAGGAAATGGTTGAAACCTAATCGCATCGGTTTCTTCAGGTGGGGACAGTTTTTCGGTGCTTTCGAGGACGTGCTAGTGAACATTTCTGCCAATGTAGCTCCATCTTCACTTCTCGAGAGCCAATGGGAGCGTGAACTGTTGTGTCAACTGGAGATTAGGACCAGAGGATCCACCACCTAAGTCTTGAGTTTCTTTGGTGCAATGTAGCTCCATTTCCATCCTCGAGAGCCAATGGGAGCTTGACCTGTTGCATAATTGGGAGATTTGGACCAGAGGAACCACCAACGAAGTCTCACGTTTCTTTGGTGAAGTGTGGCTCCATTTCCATCCTCGAGCGCCAATGGGGGCTCGACCTGTTGCATAATTGGGAGATTTGGACCAGAGGAACCACCAACGAAGTCTCACGTTTCTTTGGTGAAGTGTGGCTCCATTTCCATCCTCGAGAGCCAATGGGAGCTCGACCTGTTGCATAATTGGGAGATTTGGACCAGAGGAACCACCAACGAAGTCTCAAGTTTCTTTGGCGAAGTGTGGCTCCATTTCCATTCTTGAGAGCCAATGGGAGCTCGACCTGTTGCGTAAATTGGAGATGAGGACCAGCGGATCCACTAACGAAGTCTTGAGTTTCTTTGGTGCAATGTAGATCCATCTCCACCTCTGAGAGCCAATGGGAGCATGAAATGTTGCGTCATCTGGAGATTAGGACCAGAGCAACCATCAACGAAGTCTCAAGTTTCTTCAGCACCTTGTAGCTCCATTTCCATCCTTGAGAGCCAATGGGAGCTTGACCTGTTGCGTCAATTGGAGATTACGACGAGAAGAGCCACCAACAAAGTCTTGAGTTTCTTTGGTGACATCATCTGATACATTGACTGGTCTCTCCATTGACGTACACAATGTATTTGGCGGACCGGATAGGGGATGCGTGGCTATGTCTTGTTTTCGGTACTTCGACGTCCCCAGTGACCAACGTTCATTGCCATCGTTTCAAACAATTTTTTGTCTTACAACTGTTTTTTGGTTTCGTTTTGCTCTTGATACCAAACATGCTGCTTTTGCTACATTATGCTGTACGTGTACATGTGAAGAGTCCGATTCACCGGACGGAAGTGTGCGAGAGCATGATTATGTGTGCTGGTCCCACCAATCAATCCATTTCCTTATGCCCCAACAGTCGCCCAGGATGAAATTGCATTTTATCGTCATCAACGACCCATTCGTGGTTACTTTGGGATTTCTTGCGTTTGTTGCCATTGTTGGTTCTTTTTAAGGGTGTTTCTTTAATGGATTTGGGCTAACGAAGAGCATGAAACGGGCATATGTTTGCGCCATGAAACTGCGGTACAACTATCTTGTGAATCTGTTGTAGGTGGGACTGTTTTACACACTCATGCATATGCGTATGAGGGGGAGGGGCCTGCGCTCCGCCGTTAGAGCTGATTGGCTGTACTGGAGAATGCTTGAACCTGGAGTGTTCTGATTGGTGAGAGAATGAAAGGAGCCATGTGTAATCTTATTTCCAAAAAAGCCTTATTCTTGTAAAATCATAGAAAAAAAAAATCAAATGCATTATTGTTGTATTATTTTGACTATTATCTTCTTAACAGACATTTGATTTCTTGGTTTAGTGTTTTGCGTTTTTTTAACAAAGATACTGTACTCATTTTTTTTAATTAGCAAGGAAAAATAATGCTCATTTTGCTCATATTATGTTAAAAGACATTCTATTTTTTCACTGTAGAAATGTAACGTGAGATGTGTTTGTGTGCATGTATACATAGACAAATGGGACGTGAATGTATACATACACACTCACATATATTATATTTAAAAGCAGAATATAAAGATGTATCCAAATCTTCATATGAATAGCCTTTTTTGTTTTTGTTTTTGAAGCGGGCGCTCATTTTTATACCACCATGAAATTATGAAATTGTGTGTATGAAATCATGAATGACTTTTTATTGTTTTTGTTTTTTAAAGAGTCGGGGAAATGCATTATCAGAAATGCAGAAATTTCCCATAAATCATTGCAGGGAGAGCTTTGACTTCCTGTTGCCCAGTTATGAAGGTTGAATTATGATTACAATCCTGTTGTTATTCATCAATAGTACTAGTATTAACTGAAGTATTACTTTTATAAAAGATGTAGACCTGGTTTACTAATTATTGAATTGAACAAAAAAAAATTATCTATACTTTCCAAATTTTACTATAAAAAAAAACAAAAAATTATTTTGTTACAGCCCACATCTGTGAAAGCTTTCATTTTTTGAAACATTATTTGTCTTTTTACTTTTCAAACCACCGAATGTTCAGTCGTTTGTTAGATATCAACTATGATCCTGAATATAATGCCTGTAAATAAACAAATATATATTATATGTATTTGTATAATTTGACCCACAAGATTTCTGTCTTTGAACAAAACTGAGATAACCAACAACAAAAAAATGTTTATGCTAATGGAAACCTTCCACAGTTTTGAAAGAAGCTTTGTCTCACGCTAACAGCTGTTTATCTCTCTTCACTTCATTCTTTTTTTCTGATCCATTTGTTGTTTCTTTCCCAACTCTTCACTTTTTTCTTATCTTAGCCAACACACACTGCAGTCCAGTGGTGAGAGAAATCACAACACTTTTTCTTTTTCCCATAAGACTTTGTGCATCACTCTTATTTTTTAACATTTGTAATACACTAATACATCTCTGTCAGATTTCACTCCAAAATTAAAAAGCATAAAGAAAATAAAGCCCATTTTTAAACATTTTCACCTCAAAATTCACTGTATTTCTCATTACTCAGAGGTGATTATAATTATTGTCCATAAAAAATTTTTTTTTTTTTTTTAACTGTTTTACAGTTTGCACAATTGCTTAAATTCAAAGTGTTATTGAAATCAGTGCATTAAAGTAATGTGCATTTTTTGCATTATGGTAATGAAAATTTGATTTTTTTTTTTAGAGGAGACTATGGTAATTTGTATTGCTGTGAAAAATCTTGAAAATGAAATGCAAAATGTAATCTTACTGGTCTCAAAAAAATACTTCTCCAAGCAAAATGTAATTTCTTAGTTTTATTTTTATTTTGGAGTGAAATATGGCCCAGCAATGTTCTGGAAAGGTTTTATGAGATTCACCCAAAAATTAATCCCATTTTTACCCGTACCGAGCCTGAAGCACTAATCATTTTGTGTTTTTCTCATTCTGAGTGATTCTGTTGCTAGATCAGGATGAAGAAGGGCTTATAAAATGCCCAGTGCCTATAAAATGCCATACGAACAGCGAAAGCAAATTGCCTTGAATTGGTTGCGCGTTTGGTGATTAGCTTCACGTCATCGTTGCTAGTTTAAAAACACGCCCCTCTCTCACCACTGCCTCTGCTCTTCATCTTTTTTTAATTAATAGTTCATCGCAAAGCTCTAGAAGTTTAACGATGCCATGTTTAGTTCACTTTTATTCTTATTTTGTTTTTACATTGGGGGACGAAGTACGAGAGAACTTGGAATCTGGAAATTCCAGCGCTGCCTTTTAAACTGTCGGGAGTTTTGTGTGTTTCTAACGAACTTTACCGCAAAGAACACTTGGACTTGTCGGACTGATCTCCAAAACCTACGATGGCAAAGGTGCTCGGAAGTCCTGTTCATCTGCTCAATGCAAGGACGTTCGACAACGGGAGCCAAACGTGTGAATCGATTAGACTACAAACAACGGAGAACCAATATACAAAATTGAACGTATTAAAACCACAAGCAACAAAAAAAGAAACAAGCCAAACGCAAACGTGAAAATAGTTTCTCTTTGTACGAAGGCCAAGTGCTATCGCTTTCAAACTGTTACTTCTGATGGACACGATAATTGGTTTGAAACCACTGTGTATGTAGATATGTTGACTTTGTATTAAAGAAATGTTGTCTGAAAATGCTGTGCCTCGTATTTGGTGTGGAAATATTCATGGACATAGTTAATATTAAGTCTAGCATTAGATTTCCACGGGATCATTAAAATTTCATGAGCTCAGTTTGACAAGGCAGATGGCGAAATTAAATTGCTTATCGGTCGCATATACGAGGACCAATCAGCTGTCATCGCACATGGCATCTCAACAGAACAATCAATTATTTCACAATCTGGCCTGATACCTGAATGGTAAACGCATCCATAAGCTCAACATGCTCGTAATCTAACATCTCGTCTCATCTTGATGCATTTTGCCACCCGCTGCTTGCAATTTTAACATGGCGACCCGGGGATGTAAATGACATGTAGATTGACAACGAATTTGTGCATAAACCACTGGAGGAAACAGTTGTTTGATTGTTTTTACGCCCAATTATATGCATAATTAATGGTGTT